ATCTGGCACAACGTCCCCATCAGCGTACACAACAGGACCAGCTCGCCGCGCCGGTGTTGATTCTTGGAAGCGGCCATTGTTCATTCGCGAAAGAACCCCTTCAGTCTTCACAGGGCATAGGCGGCTGGTTTACCTTTCTTTGGTTGTGGTGATGGAAACAGTAATCTTATGGAAAGCTGGAGAGCCACAAATCTAGGGACGGAATTTCACCGCAGTCCCGCAGTTGGACTCTGGAATCTGCCAGTCTGATTTTGTCAGCGCTGAGAATTCGATGGCTTTTCCTGTGCATTGCTCTCCCAGCAGGTGAACAGCGGCGCTTAGAGTCCTAAATTGTTACTGCACTTAAATGCAGTTATTTAAGCCTTACAAGTTAGGCGCTTTTCATTACTTTTAAGTTTAAATTTGTTCCTAAATACATATTTTAGAAGAAGGTGCAAGTGTGTGTGCGCGCGCGAAAAGGTGTGGATATATTAATTATTAGATTTGTGGGTTAGCATTACATCAAATGACTGATTACATTACATCAAAAGAACCTTCACTTCTAAAAGCAAACAGGGCAGTTTTAATTCCCATTGTTTTCTAGCTTTGTGCGAATGTTTTCAATGTATATGACTTAACTAAGAACTCTGTTTTTAGACTAAAACAGACCCATTAGAGATGATTATTTGGAGATTGTTTTTATCTGGTTTAAGCTAACCATCATAGTAGACTTCCACAGAGTTGGTGATTTTACCATTCCTTTCTAAATTCTATTTTAATTACACACCGATAAATTTTCAGATGAACGGTGTGAAATTTTAACAGGACAAACACTTTTACGATTCAAAAATTTTAAAACAGAGATTATACTGACTTGTTATTTTATTTAAATCACCGATTTCTTCCTAGTTGAAAGATACTTGAAAGGAACAGATAAAGACAACAATCAAAAGTAAAACTCTGGGGGGGGTGTAGTTTTTTTTGAGACAGGATCTAACTATGTAGCTTTGATTGTCCTGGAACTCACTCTGTAGACCAGACAGAGCTCCATCCGCCTCTGCCTCCTGGTGCTGGGATTAAAAGTGCGTACCACCAAGCCTGGCAATAATTACATTTTAAACCAGATTACTGTTTAAAGGACGCACACACACACACACACACACACACACACACACACACACACACACACGGTTTTCTCCACTACTATACCTTTCATCCAAAGAACAACAAAAAGTGAGGAACATATAATTTTCACAAGAAGCCAAACAGTAAACGCCACTAGAAAACGCTTTCCATCAATAGTTTGAAGTGGTCAGTAACTGAAGCAGGTGCTATGGACTGCCCAGCAAGAGTGACCCGATGATGACCTTTTGTATACATTATTATTTTTTATATACACATCAGATTGGCAAGTTTGTCTGAAAGTTTGAAAAAATTGAAGACTATTTCCCTCCTAGAGGTAGTCTAATTTGTAGAAGACCTCTACATGTCTTGGTTTAGGAGCACAATGAAAAGACAGTGAATTTTCTGTGAGAGTCCATCCAGAGGGCTCAGCAGACAGAAGCACTTGCCTCCCAAGCCTTGTGACATGCGTTCTATCCTTGGAAGCCGAATGAGAGGTGGAAGGAAAGAGTGAAATCTACAAAGTTGTCCCCTGACTTGCACATCTACCCCCACACCATGTACATACAGACAATACTAGTCATTTTTAAATTATGTGTTGGAGCGTGTCAGGGAGGAACAGAGGGAAAGCATTGTTCATCTCTTCTCCTGTGGGGGAGTCCACTGAATGAGCATCAGTACAAAGAAACTCTCAAAAACCTATGCTTCAAGCAATGACAGTCTGTGTTTGACCTGGGTTTTTAGTTGTTTGTTTAGAAAGGGTCTCATATAGCCCGGGCTGGCTTTGCCTCTATTTCCCAATTGCTGGCATTATATACATGTATTATCAAACCTTTTGATCTTCTGATGAATACTGAGCCTCCTGCTAAGTAACTGACCACACATAATATATTGCACAAAATTACAAGGGACCATGTACATGAAGCTAAGCTTAAGAGATCTTATTCTGGGAGTCTCTGGTGGGAAAGGAATTAATCACAAGAAACAAAACAACAGATTATAGAAACTGTAGCAGCTACATCAGTAGAAAATATTTGTTTGTTTTTTGTTTTCCTTAAGGATTATTTCAGTGACTTTTTTTTTGTTTTGAGTATAGTATTTTGTTTGCATGTATGTCTGTGTACCACTTTCATGTCTTGTACCCTTGGAGACCAGAAGAGGGCATCATATCTCCATGTAACTGGAGTTACAGACAGTTGTGAGCCACCGTGTGGGTTCTGGGATTTGAACCCAGGTCCTCTGAAAGAGCAGCCAGTGTTCTTAACTGCTGAGCCTCAATGACCTTTTTGCTGTGGACTAATCCTTCTGTACACTGTGAATATGTATTACTCTCATTGGTTAATAAAGAGCTGACTGACTGGTAGCCAGGCAGGAAGTATAGGTGGGACAGCCACACTGAGAATGCTGGGAGGAAGAAGGGTGGAGTCAGAGGAGTTGCTGGCTGCTGCAGAGGGAGCAGGAGATGAACGTGTCACACTAATAAAGGTACCACAACATGGCAGAGAGTAAATAAGGAATATGGGTTAATTTAAAATGTAAGAGCTAGTTAGTAATAAGCCTCAGCTATTGACTGAGCATTTACAATTAATATAAGCCTCAGAGTGGTTATTCGGGAATAGGCTGCTGTGGGATTCTGCATGATGTGAATACATGTTGCTCTCATTGATTGGTAAATAAAACTGTTTTGATCTACATCTAGGCAGAAAAGGCAGGGCAGAAAAGCCAAACTGAGATACAGGAAGAAGGAAGGGCAGAGTCAAGAGAGATGCCAGCCAGCTGCCAAGGAAGAAAGACATATAGAAAATGAGGTAATAAGCCACGAACCACATGGCAAATCATAGAAAAGAAATATGGGTTAATTTAAATGTAAGAGCTAACTAGTATTAAACCTGAGTCATCAGCCAAACATTTATAATTAACATAAACTTCTGTGTATTTATTTGGGACCAGGCAATCAGGACAGAAAGGCTCCACCTCCAGTTACAACAGGCAGTCGGGACAAGAAACTTCCAATTACAACTTTTTTTGTTTGTTTTGGTTTTAGTTTTTCTAGACAGGGTTTCTCTGTGTAGCCCTGCCTGTGCTGGAACTCTCTCTGTAGGACTAGGCTGGCCTCAAACTCAGAGATCCACCTGCTCTGCCTCCCGAGTGCTGGGATTAAAGATGTGAACCACCACATCCAGCTCAATGACTGCTTTTATACTTACAGTATGTCCAAGCCACAATAAGTCTTCATCTTGTATTAAGCAACAGGAAGGAAATTCATGGAAAAATCTCATTAAATTCTAAGGAGAGTCAGTAGATTGTTCACACTGTAGTTAAGACCACCTACTGAACACCTGAGGTTGGTACATTATACTTACAAGGCACAGAAGTGCTCATACCTTATTATTTGAAGAATTATATGGTCACTGTTCAAGATTATTTATTTATTTAATGAGTATTGGTTTTATCTGCATGTGTGTCTGAGCATTGTGTGTGCCCGGTACCGTCAGAGGCCAGAAGAGGGGGTCAGATCTCTTGAGACTCGAGTTATAGACAACTATCAGCTGCTATGTGAGCGATGGGAATTAAACCTGGGTCCTCTGGAAGAGCAGCCAGTGCTCTTAACTGCTGAGTCTCTCTCTAGCCCCCATGAGCGCTTTTTAACCCACTAAAACTTTTCATGGTGCTCTTAGGGACTGAGTCAGCATACTAGGCAGGTGCCCTAACATTTAACCACACCACTAACTCTTCACTATTATTGCCTTAAGAACTGGCTCTATCTGGAAAGTATATATTTCCTGAGAATGCGGAGAACTGAGTCTAAAGGAGTACCTTATGATCGCAGGAAACTCACCTGATGGGATGTTGACTCACTGGAATTAAGTGGAAACAAGGCCCCCGCTGAATCTCCAAAAAGTATATCTTGTCCTGAATTCAACTGATCATTACATGTCAGGGAGTTAAATTCTGCCTTCCCCGCAGGTGCAGCACACAGGTTGTAGGAATACGACAAAGTACCATCACTGTAGTTGGGGGGAACCACAACTTCTGCCTGAAAGCAGTCCCAAGCCTTGCTGCTGGAGGAGTGTCGCAGTCGAAGTGCTATGGCTAGAATCACAGCCAGGAGGAAAAGCACAGAAATCAAGGCCAAGGCCACCACCAAGTAAAACTGAAGCTCGGCTTGAGGGTCAGGGGGCAGAGGATCATCGCTGAGGTCTGGCAGGATCTCCTGCAGGCTGTCAGCAAAGATCAGGTGCAGCGTGGCTGTAGCCGAGAGTGGTGGCTGTCCACCATCGCGTACAGCGACCAGAAGTCGCTGCCGCGCCGCGTCCCTGTCGCCCAAGGCACGCGCTGTGCGCACCTCGCCAGTGCGCAGCCCCAGGCTGAAGAGCCCGGGATCGCTGGCCTGCAGCACATGGTATGACAGCCAGGCGTTGTGTCCCGAGTCCGCGTCCACAGCCACCACCTTAGTGACCAGGTATCCGGGTTCGGCGGCGCGCGGCACCGTGTCGAAGAGCGCGGAACCGTCGAGCTCGAGCGTGGGGTACAGCACGCGCGGCGCGTTGTCGTTGCGGTCGCCCACCAGCACGCGCATGCTCACGTTGGCGCTGAGCGCGGGCGAGCCCTGGTCGCGCGCCTGCAGAGTCAGCTGGAAGGAGCGCAGCTGCTCGTGGTCGAAGGCGCGCTGAGCGAACACCACTCCGCTCTGCGCGTTCACGGTCACGTAGGACCACAGGGATTTAGGTTCCAGGTCGCTGGCTATGATGGAGTAGGAGACGTGGCCGTTGGGCCCTGAATCTGGGTCCGAGGCGCTGACTTGAGTGATGGAGGCTCCAGGTGGATTGTTTTCCGAAACTTGGACCACATATGAAACCTTTGTGAAAACTGGAGCGTTATCGTTCACATCGCCAATACGCAAGATGACACTAGAGCTGGAAGAGAGAGGTGGGTCACCCTTGTCGGTGGCTCTGATAGTGATGTTGTATTCTGGGTTCTGCTCGCGGTCTAGAACCCCGTCCGTCACTAATTTATACGTGTTTCTAGAAGAAGTGAGTATTTTAAACGGAGCGCCGCCTTCTAATTTGCAGATAACTTCTCCATTGCGTCCAGAATCTTTGTCTCGGGTTTTAAACAGAGCGACGTGTGTTCCTGGTTCTGCGTCCTCCATTATGAGATCCGGTAGAGATTGGAATAACACTTCAGGGACATGGTCGTTTTCATCCAAGACTTCTATCTCCACTGTACATTGTGCAATCATCCCCCCGCCATCCCTTGCTTCCAAAACAAGGGAATATTCTTTGACTTCTTCGAAGTCTAATGTATCCAGAGTGGTAATTTCCCCGGTATTAGAATCCAGGTTAAATTGGGTGATCTGGCCAGCTTCGCTAAAAGAGAACGTGATCTCGGAATTGACACCCTCGTCCTGGTCTGTGGCAGCCACCCTAAGCACCGTGGTTCCTGGGTGCACGTTTTCTGGAAGGCTCACCCTGTATATATCTTGGCTGAACACTGGAGGATTATCATTGGCATCAGTCACTAGGACTTGTATTTGCGCGGTGCTGTTGAGGGGTGGATGCCCAAAGTCCAAAGCAGTCAAGGTCAAGTGGTAGGATTTCTGCCTCTCCCGGTCTAGAGGTGTCTCCAATACCATTTCAGGGTATTTACTACCGTCTGACTTCTCTTTATTCACCAGTGAAAAATGATCATTGGGACTCAGCTGGTAATTCTGCAGAGAATTGGTTCCAATATCTGCATCATGGGCGGATCCTAAGATAAATCGTGTCCCTGGTTTTGTTGACTCACTTATTTGCAATTCAAAGGATGTGTGCGTGAATTTTGGTATGTGGTCATTAATGTCCTCAAGCTCCACGTTCACATGATAAAAGTTCAACGGACTTTCAGCAACAGCCTCAACTTCCAGAACGCACACAGGCTTCTTCCCGCAAATCTGCTCCCTGTCCAGCCTGCTGCTCACTAGCAACTCCCCGCTGGTTGCGCTCACACTAAAGTAAGGCTTCTCAGAACTGATACGCAGCTTTCGCGTCGGTAGCTCCTGGACACTGAAGCCCAGGTCCTTGGCGAGGTTCCCCACTACAGAGCCCGTGGGCATTTCCTCGGGGATCTTGTAGCGGATCTGCTCAGAGAGCGCGGGGCAGAACAAAGACAGCAGGAAGGGAAGGAGCATTGGCTGCCTCTGCACCCGGCGCCTCTCGGCAGCGCCCTCCCGCATCCTTCTGGTTTCCCTTTGCTTGCTCACCAGTCTGGAGACGCCGGGTTACAAGGAAGCTCCGTGCTGCGGATATTCCGGGCTCCAAATGGACTCTTATGACAATTCTATTCTATGAAACAATTCTTTTGCTTGGAAGAAGCGGTGTGAAGGATAAGGCGGAGAAAGGGCGACAGGAAAGCGCTCTGCGGCTGCGCGGAAGTGGCGCTTCAAGCTCTCCAGTCTGGCCAACAGCGACACCCAAAGTCCACAGTAGGAAACTGCAGCCTCTGCTGTTTGAAGTTTTTAATCAGTAGTTTCCATATATTTAATAACATTCAAAACCTATTGTCGGAAACGCTTTTTAGCACAAATTTCCAGGATTTTATCTCTAAAGTCATAGTATCTGTTGACATAAGCGTACTTTAATCTTTAATACTCCACTAGTGAGCCAAACATGACTGTAACACAGTCTTGGCCTAAATAATCCCAGGGAGCAACAACATTGCATGTTTATTGAGCAGCAATAAGGTGGGATAATTTTTCTTCTTCTTTTTTATTCATAGTGCCTTATCTCCTTTTAAAGCCATATCTATTCTGATATACTTCATTACTTCATTTTCTAAGAGTGTCATTTCTTTTCTTCTTCTTCTTCTTCTTCTTCTTCTTCTTCTTCTTCTTCTTCTTCTTCTTCTTCTTCTCCTTCTTCTTCTTCGTCGTCATTTCTTCGTTCCCCTATCCCTTTTTCTTCTTTTGAGATAAGGTCTGTCTACATAGTGTGGCTGTCCTGGAGATATGTCCACCAGGCTGGCCTTGAATTACAGAGATCCACCTGCTTCTGCCTCCCAAACATTGGGATTAAATGTGTTTTTCCAAAGGTGCAACTCATACTCACCATCCAACTCATTTCGTTTTGAAAAATACTTGGAACAATTGCCTTACAGTAGTATTATGTGATCTTCACCTCCACTATCTCAGGTAAAGAAATGATACAGGCTGAACTGTTAGGCCACCCATCTCCCATTACAGTTATTCTCATTATAAACTATAAAGTCAATATTCAAATCACCGAGGGAGCAGTAGTTTACCTTGTGATACGAAGGACTAAAGTCTGTAGAACACTATTATTCCTCCCTATGCACTTGCTTTATATTTCAAGATAACTTCAGAACTGGAGGGGAACCTTCCTGGGAAACTTGCTTTCAATAGCTCCCTGAGTTTAGTGATGACTTCTCCTCTTTGTTTAAAAATGTATTTGAGAATCTAATATGTGTTGATTAGGCCAGTTTCTTCTCATTATATCTGGAAACCCTATTACACCAGTGTGTCTTTCACAAAATGCAATATTGTTCTTTTTCTAAATGATTACACACTGGAACACCACAGGAGCGAAATATTCTCTCATACTACCAAAAATACAGAAAAAAACTTTTTAATTAGCACTCAGAGGGTCACAGTAGTCATTATTACCTTGTCACATTCCTCTTACAGATAAGTGTAGTTTAGAAAACACTCTGTGAAAGAATATGGAAGTAGTCAATCCCTAAACTTATTATTTCTAATCTTTTGTCCCCCAGAAGAATGGATAAATGAAAGTGAATTTGATCTTGGGTTTGACAATTTGAGGTGGTTATTTTGTAGAACCAGCTTTCCCAGAATGTTCAAAGACACTTCAGCTAGAGTACTACCAAAAGAATACGTTGGAGTTGTGTGTGAAGACATGCAGTTGTCCATTTTTCAAATAGAGTTACAACACTTGAAAAGATTCTGGGGTGGTAATAGAAGAGGCTGGCCTAGAGGCCTTGCTTCTGTCTCCTGAGTGTTGCAATCAAGGGAAACCACCACACCTACCCTGCACTGTCCTCTTATGTGACATACATCATCTATTTTGACTAATTAATTTTAGCGTGGTATTAGATACCATGTCTATTTTTTGTACAGATCCTAGTGATGCTTTACACATTTCATTCTTTTGTGTGAACTGTGTATGGAGGTCAGAGGAACATATCAGACATTGTTCCTCAGGAGTCATCCACCCTGTTTTTTGAGTCAGCATCTCTCACTGGGACTCGGGCTTCACCAGTTAGGTTAGGCTAGGCAGACTAATCCCAGAGATCTGCATGTCTCAGCCTCCCCAGCACTGGGTTAAAAATTAAACTCGGGTATTCATGCTTGTGCAGGAAGCATTTTACTGAGTAAAGGTATCCACCCAGCTGGACACATTTCATTCTTAAGCATCTATCTAATATTCTACAAGCAACCCAAGTAGATGAGCATGCTTTACATAGCTGAGTTTGCCTTTTAAGGCCACTAAGTTGAATTACATGGAGACAGAAGCAAAGCAGAGAAATGCTTCAGGTTGAAAAGACCATTAACACGCCTTTACAGATGTGAGTTCTAGGAAGAATCCTTGGAAAGTAGCCAAAGTGAAAGACTCAACAATCCGTTTTCACTTAGATGACATTTGAGTTAAGAAAATGAAGTGGAAAGTTGGAGGACAGCACAAAAATGTGTTAGCCTACTTATTCACATTCTTGTCCACAGGGTTTAATTAAAAGATATCACAACCTATGTGCTTCTTGCCAAAGTACAATCACTGAAACAAAATGGTAAACTTTCCTGCAACATTTTAATGGTTTTAAACCTACATTTTTGAAGTTCTTGTTTTTGCAAAATGATAGAAATATTTCACTCAAAATATAAGTCTTGTGGAAATAAAGATAAGGGAAGACGGACCTTTGGAGATGGCTCATGGATACATTGCTAGCCCTGCCTGAAAGCGTGAGTCACGGTTTGGATCCCAAGAACCCATGTAAGTACCAGGTAGGCATGGTGGCCCACCTGTGATCCTAGGACATGAGAGATGAAGACAGGGATCTCAGAGCAAGCCGACTAGCCACATGAGTCAGATTGGCCAGCTCTGGCTTTAAATAAGAGCCCCCTTCCTCAACAGACAAGGTGGAAAGCAATAGAAGACAACATCTGGCATTGTGAGAACACTGCACACACAGGTACACAGAAGAAGTAAAGACGAGAACTCACCTGCGCACTTGGGGCTTCACCCTTACATTCTTGAAAATCTATGGATGTTAACAAAGAATCACTTTTCTCACAGCTGTCTTGGCTGATAAGTGTATCCACGTAGTTGGGCTGAGGGAAGATAATGTGGCTCTTTCGAGAGTCTGCCGTGAGTGAAACCTCATGGGAATATGTTTGTAGGAAAGCCTGAACCCCATCCAAACCTACGAAGTGCGAGGCAGGCACATCTTCCAGCCCACTGCCGGAAGCCTGTAGCACGTGTGACTTGTGCCAGCGCCACAGTCTGAGAGCCAATAGCACAGTGACAAAGACAAGGAAAACACAGGAAACAGTGGCCACCGCCACCACCAGGTAGAGAGTGATGTCTGAATCATCAGGTTCGCTGGGGGTCCTGATGCTGCCTAGGTCTGCCAGAACATCAGGGATGCTGTTGGCCACAGCCACAGTGAGCGTCACAGTGGCTGAGAGTGGGGGTTGGCCGTGGTCCTGCACAGCTACCACAAGGCTCTGTTTAAGCGCATCTCTGTCCAGAAGGGCCCTCGCTGTGCGCACCTCACCCGTGTGTAGCCCTACTGAGAAAAGGCCTGGCTCGCTGGCTTTGAGCAGACGGTAGGACAGCCACGCATTTTGGCCCGAGTCTTTGTCCACAGCCACCACCTTGGTCACTAGGTATCCGGGCTCTGCTGAGCGGGGAGCCAGCTCCACCCCCGTGGAACCATCAGTGGGGAGGGTGGGGTACAGGATCTCAGGGGCGTTGTCATTCTTGTCCAGCACAAAGAGGTTCAATGACACGTTACTGCTGAGAGGTGGGTCCCCGCTGTCGCGTGCAGTCACTCTGAGTTGTAGATTCCGAAACTGCTCATAGTCGAAGGATCCGAGTGCATATAGCACACCAGTGTCAGAGTTGATGGAGATATAGGAAGACACTGGTACCCCCTGGATGGTGTCCTCAGCTAACGCATAAGTGACTTGGGCATTCTTGTCGCTGTCAGGGTCTTGAGCAGTCACTGAGAAGATGGAGGAGCCTCTCGGATTGTTCTCGGGGATGTAGATGGAGTAAGAGGAATCTGAGAAGGTGGGTGGGTTGTCATTGGTGTCTGACACATGAATGGATATGTGAGTTTCTGTGGACAGAGGGGGAATTCCACCATCCGTGGCTTTCAGCGTGATGTTGTACATAGACGTCTTTTCCCGGTCCAGGTTTTGTGCAGTGACCAACCTGTAATAATTATCAATTGATCGTTCTAACTTAAAAGGCAGGTTTTCTGGAAAAGAGCAGGTCACCTCACCATTCTTTCCTGAGTCTTTGTCTTGGAGGTAGAAAAGAGCCACCACTGTCCCAGGGGGTGTATCTTCCGGGACTGGACTGCTCACAGATGTGACAGTCACTCCTGGGGCATTGTCATTCACGTCCAAAATCGTGATCAGTACTTTTGCCTTGGTCAGACTACCAGCACCATCTTGAGCCTGAACTTCCAGTTCATAGAAGCTGGATTCTTCATAATCCAGACCTTTTAAAGTAGACAATTCTCCTGTAAGGGAGTCCAGATGGAATATTTGTAGAAGTTCTGGAGTTATTTTCCGGAAAGAATATGTCACTTCCCCATAGACTCCCTCATCCAAGTCGACAGCATTTACTGTGAGAAGTCTTGTGCCTACTGGTACGTTCTCGGGGACCGTAGCTTGATACCGGGGCAGAGAGAAGACTGGCGTGTGATCATTTACATCCACCACTGTCACGCGGATGCTGGCAGTGCCAGATCGGGGTGGGTCCCCACCATCATAGGCTGTGAGGACCAGATGGTGAACATCCTCTTCTTCCCGATCAAGAACCTTCTCCAGCACCAGTTCCGGGTACTTAGTCCCATCGTCTCCACTTTGCACAACCAGGGAGAAGTGGCGATTGGGGCTGAGCTGATATTTCTGGAGGGAGTTTGTGCCCACATCTGAATCTGTAGCCTCAGTTAGTGGAAACCGCATCCCAGGAGCTGTATTTTCCATTATTTTTACGTTTATTTCTTCCGTTAAGAATCTGGGAGCATTGTCATTAACATCCATTATTTCCACCTCTATAGGGTAAAGATTCATTTTGTCTTCTACCAAGATGTTAAAGCTTATGAGACACCGCGGGCTCTGGGCGCACAGCTCCTCCCGGTCTATCCTGCCTGCCGTGACCAAGCTGCCGCTTCGCGGGTTCAGAGAGAAAAGCTGGGTCTTACCTTTGGAGATGATGCGGACTCCGCGCTCCGCCAGCTCCCGAGGCTGCAGTCCCAGATCCTTGGTGATATTTCCCACAAAAGACCCTTTGTCTGTCTCTTCAGACACGGAGTAGAGAATCTGTCCTGCCCGGGCTTCCCACCAGGTCCCCAGGAGGATGGAGAGCAGCACGAATCCTCTGTAGTCCGCGCCCCTCTGCCCAGTCGCCATTGCTGTCCTGCGGATCTTGCTCAGACCCCAAGAGGTCTCGGAATGGGCTTCAGGACCCAGTTGTGTCCGCCCGGACCCCCAGCGTGCGGAAGAGAAGCCGGGAATCCAGCTGAATAAAGGCCTGAGTCTGGCGCAGCTCGGAGGAGGGAGAGTATCAGTCTGTCCTCTCTTTGTGCTGTATGTAAACTCGGTGGTTCTGAGCTCAGGCACCACTTTCTCCTGGTTGGTGAACAGCGGCGCGCAGAGTCCTTACTAAGTTACTGCACCATCTTGAAGCAAAATGAACTGATTTTACATAAAGCTGCTTAATTCTTCAAACTTCTGTTTACTTAAATTTCTTCACTCCAGACACCACGAGCACACTTTAAAGATACATTTTAAGGTATAGACTATTTGATAAATCCAAATACTTAAAAAAGTATCTTTCACGAAGTAACTTTGAAGTTACGTTCTTGAGCACCAATTCACATTTTAGTCAGAAAATTAGGCGTTTGCAGGCAAACATGTAAAGGTCATTAAAATCTATACGGTAATTCTACACTGCAAATATATTTTTATATAATATTTTACCTTCTCTGTGAAATTTTCTGTTGATGAACCATTAATTTGGATCTCTATTTAGTTGATTTCTTATTAAAAAATGTAGGTACTTTACAACGACTCTCTCTGCCAGTTTATTATTTCCCCTTGACGACTATCACCTCGACAGCTGTTTGATTAGGAATGGATGATTTATGCAGATGATAAAACAGCCAGGTGATCTTGAGGATTTGTTTCCATGAGGATTCAAAACCCAATACATGGTCAAACTCTCTGACACTTAGCTTGCTATTAATTATTTGCATAGTAAGTTGATCAAAAAGTTTCCTTTAGTTCATGATTTCCCGATGTTTAATAGTTGATCAGCTCACATGAATAAATGACTGCTTAGCTTGGTATTAATTATTTGCATGGTAAGTTGATCAAAAAGTTTCCTTTAGTTCATGATTTCCCGATGTTTAATAGTTGATCAGCTCACATGAATAAATGACTGCTGTGGGAGTAGAATCTGATAGATTTTTCTACAGTAAAATGTTTTATTTGTTCAAATTATATGGCCACAGGAAACTCAGGTGAAAGACTAAAATAAACAGGCATTTACCCATGAAATCCAGTTAGCTAGCTTTGGCAGTGTTGATGGGTATTCAAGATGTAATTAAAATCACTCAAAATTGATGATACAATAAAACAGCTCTGGTTCTCTCAGAGCTTATGAAACAAATAACCATATTTGTGTAGGAGGCTATTTAATTCACATGACTAATACGTAGAATATAGATTGTTTACAATTAATACTGAATTAAAACAAAATCAAAGAATCATATTACCAATGTTCAAACGAACAGATTTGAAAAGTCATGATTGGAAACAAACATTTCCATAATAATTACAAACAGGTAAATGGCACGTTATTGGCTTAGGAAGACATGTATTACTCCTATCTTCTTATTTAAAAGCACAAACTAGTCAAGTATGGTGGGAGTCTAGCATTTGGGGGTGGATGGAGGCTGAAAGGAGGATCACAAGTTTAAGGCCAGCCTGGGCCACACAGGGAGTTCTAGATCTTGTCTAAAAAAAATAATCTAATAGTTTTGTTTTTCTTCTTCTCTCTTTCCCTGTCCACTTTCTTTTCTTTTTTCTCTTCCCTCTCTTCCTCCCTCCCTCTTTCTTCCTTGTAGTAGTGTTTAAACCAAGGACATCAGGTAAGCAAGGCAAGCTCATTGCTACTTAGCTCTGTCGTACTGAAGACTGATGTGGGTGTTTTGTGCATTGCTGGAAATACTGTAGCACAGAGCTGGATTTCAGCCTCTTATCTTTTCTTCATTATGTCAGCATCAGGTTACAAAGAAAAGCATCGTACATTTTCAATACATATTCTAAGATAGGTTTTTATTACACATGCACACCAAATTCAGTTATATGATAGTCAGCCTGTTCTACTGTTGGATCATGGAATCTTCTAACTCAGGATTGGGAAAAATTAATTGTTCAACAACTTATCAAATTATCAAAGCTTCTGAATTTTATTAATTCCTTGGCTATCAATTTTACCCCCTACTCTTTTAAGGCAGCTTCTCACTATGTAGCACAGGCTAGCTTCAGACTTCTCCCACTTCAGTCTCCTAAGTTCTGGAACTAAGATGTGCATCACCACACCTACCTAATCATCATCAGCTTACTTTTGAAGAGGGCCAATTGTAGACTCTCCCACCTCATTAGGAGTCCCTTTCTTGTTATTCCTGTTAGAATAACTTTGACAATGAAAAGATTCACCATCTTCTGCTTGGTAATCCATAACATTATTTGTATCTTTGGCCATAAATAGTTAACCAACTCCTCTAAATGATAATCCCCATTTTCTTCAAACACTTAGATACAAAGTTCTTTTGTATTAAATATAGAGTTCCTACATGACAGAAGCTTATTTTCTTTAAATGCTAAATTATGTAAATTTTCATTGTATCTGTTAAGGCTTTGTCCTCCAATTCACCAGTCAGTCTGTATTTTTAGAGGTATTTCCCGTAAGTGATTTTATATTAAAACTCATTTTCATTATTAAATACTATCAAGTACCGAATACACATATGCCACTGTAATTTATTTAACAATTCAACAATTATAAAAATGGTGACATCAACACTTGTCTACTATACTACTTTACTGATGGAGAAAGAGTTCACAAAGTTGTTTTATTTCATCTTCCAGAATTGTGTGAGGTAGATAAAGCAAGGTTTAAAAATTTTAGTTTCAATTGGAAGACCATAGAGATTTTCATTGGCTCAAACAAGTGACAAATGGTTCTAAGCATATCGTTCAGTTGTGGGTTTTTTTTTTTGTTTGTTTGTTTGTTTTTTTGAGACAGGGTTTCTTTGTGTAGTTTTGGTGCCTGTCCTGGATCTCGCTCTGTAGACCAGGCTGGCCTCAAACTCACAGAGACCTGCCTGGCTCTGCCTCCCAAGTGCTGGGATTAAAGGCGTGCACCATCACCACCCAGCTTATTCAGTTTTTTAAGCACCAAAGATTAGGTAGTCCCCTCCACAGGCATCAGTGATTTTTAAATTTAATTTTTAAGAAGTAAAAAGGACTGTTTCTTTGCTACCATCGAAGTGGCAGCAGCCAAAATGAAGTCCAGTACATTTGTGACCTCTGACCGAAGCAAGAACCATACAGGGGTTTTCAATGGCCCTGACAACATTTGGAAAGTTATGTGTTTTCCTCTTTTCAAAGATCTGAGACAAACATGTGATATTCAAACTATGCCCTGTGAAAGAATGAGACTATAAAGGATGGCAGATCAGCAAAGCAATCCAGCTTTGAAAGTAGTCTATACTCAACCTGTACAGCAGGAATCGGTTTATCACCAAGCCAAAATTAGTCAACGCTCACAAAAAAAATTCTGGAACAGAAAGCCAACTCCCACCAAGTAGTACAGGAAAAGGGCAAATATGGGAAGAAACAGCCAAGATGCAGAGATAAAGAATGTGCACATAACTTTCACTAAGGACTGGCAAAAGTTGGTAGAGTGCTTGCCTAGCATGCACAAAGCCCTGGGTTTGATTCTCAGCACTGTGTAAACCAGGTGTGGTAGTGTATACCCCTGAAGCAGAGGCAGGAGGATTAGAAGTTCAAGGTTAGCTAAGTGAGGACAGCCTGGGACACAGGAAACCTTGTCTTAAAAAAAGGAAAATGACTCTCCAGTGACACATCTCCAATCTCCATCATTTTGTAAGATATCTGCAATTATTATGTAATACTGAGGGAAAATGAAAGGCTAAGATCTTAATTGTCCATAGTAGATTCTTTAATTCCATTTTCAGCTTAGAAGAGAAATTGCTTAACTGTCCTAGGAAAAAGTCCTTGCGAATGAGATGTACAAAATCAATGGTACAGAAAAAAGGAGCAAACAAGTCTAGAGTATGAAATAAAAGCTTTTCCCAATGAAAATCAAGAAGAGACCGAGCTCTGCTGATAAAAATGAAGAACATCAGAATTATATTATTTTAGTTGCATTTTCATTGCTGTGATGAAAACATCTTAAATTCATTTGAAAGGGAGAATGATTTGTTTTTGACTCACAGGTTCAGAGTTTCATTCACTGTACCCTAGCTCTGTTGCTTTGAGGTTGCGGTGAGGCTGAACATCACAGTAGGAACATGTGGTAGAGAAAGGCTGTTCACCTTGTGGTATCAGTACACACAAGTCCAGGGGTAATATTTACACCCTTCAAGGTTGTATCTCCAAGAAACCAACTTCCTCCTACTGGAGACCCCCGACCCTTGAGAGCTTCCATCACTTCCCAATAGTCCACCCAATTATGAACCCATCAGTGGATCAATCCATTGATGAGATCAGGATCCTTACAATGCAATACCTTTCCAAAAGCTCAAGTCTGACTACTTTTATTGGAGAGCAAGCCTTGTATCTCTGGGAGACATTTCATAAGCAAACAATGATAAATATCATTCATTGCAAAAGAGAAAAGACTTTACCAATGTTCAAAGAGAAAATTACAATTTCCTGTTTCTTTTTTTTTTTAATAAAAGCAATAAACTTACCTGATCAAGAGAGTCTTCCTCTTTGCAAAAAGTTAAATCTTCCTGTGTCAGTAAGGGCTCATTTTTCTCACAACCCTCCTGACTGATGAGCGTGTGGGCATAGTTGGGCTGGGGAAAGATCAGATGGCTCTTCCTTGAGTCTGCTGTGAGGGAGACCTCATGGGAATAGGTCTGCAGAAAAGCCTGCACC